AAATGGCCTAATCAGTTGCTAATAACTAGTGCTTCATATACTAAATTGAAGATAAACAGCACTGGAACTGTGTTTTCAGGGCACTCTGCTTTCTTTTTTTATTTTGTGGAATTAAGCTCCACAATTTTAAATTTGATTTGCAACACAGCCTATAATTACTACACAGTGACTCTCTGCTCACTCTCATCTCAGGGTAAAGGCTTAGTAACTACTTTGAAGTTAGTAGAAACTGTCTAGATTTGTATCAGTATGACAGAAAGATTGAGCCCAGCATACAGGATCATACATTCCCTCTCAGCCATGCATGCATATATATTTTTATATATATATACATGCTTACATTTAAAATCATGTTTTGAAATAGCAGGACCTACAAAACCAGTAATGTATTCAACAGCAAAAGAATTCAAATAACCCATTAATTCTAAAACTACGCTCCTGTGGTCTGATTCCGATTCACCCCTCACCACACAAGGCAGGAAACACTCTCCAGGAACCACCTCCTGTTTGGACTGGATTTCTGCAGGTTAGATCAGTATGGAACAAAGATGTCTCAGCATGTGTAAACTGAAAAATGGAGCCAGGTGGGTTTACACAGCTGAGACATTCCATTTGTGCAGCACAGTTGCCATTTTCCAAGTATGGGTAAAAAGAAAGGATTAAGTAATCACATGAAACTGCCAGAAAACAACAGCACTTGATGTATACATGATGAACATAGGGAGGGGGAAAATAAGCAGAAGAAGGAAAAAATGTTTTGGCAGTGAATGACATGACAGTTTGAGTGAGTAGATGCTTATACAGAATAATGTAGACAGGTATTTTTCCTTGATGGGCTGATTACAGTCAACTAATTTCCCATGCAAGATTCCTCATAATACATGTGAAGAAACCTTCCAAGTTCATGGGATCAGAAAAACACATCTGACCCAACCCTGCAAGCACATTTCTGGTTGAAATCAAAGACAATTTTAGCTGCATATGGGTGGCAAAACTGGGCTCTTGAATGGTCCAGTTGTGCTGCATAGTACTTTCTGGCTTGTTCTTTTTTGGCAAGATCCCCAAACAACATCAACAGGGAGTCTATCAGGACTTACAGTTTTAGGCCCTCTCAGATGAAATCTTCAGAAGAGCATGGATAGTATATCCCCACATGCACTTTTTTCTTTTAGTGATTAAGGCAAGTTTGTTTACCTGTTCCTACCATAAAGTGCTGTGCTTCTCCAATAGAAAGATCGACAGCTAAATGAAAATATATTTTTTCTGACCAGAATTTAAGATTTTGCTAGCATTCTTCCCCATTAATGGACAAATGATAGAATTTGTCTATTATTGTTTCTTGTCAGAGGATTCTTTTTTGCTTTGCTTTTACTTTTTATTTATTTCCAAATGAGAATTAGAATAAAATTGACACTAAGCGAACATTTCATAACAATACTAACAAACTCTAGATAGCTCTATACTTATTCATATATACAGGCACACACACACACACTTTTTAAAATACAGCAAAGCATTTGCCTTGAGTACATCTCTGAGCAAGCGAAAAGCCTGGTGTGTCTGGTGTGTGTTTGAGCAGGGGTACCAGCAGAAACCTGGTGCTGATGCTCTCAGGTGCAACAGGTTTTCAGCCAGAATCAAAAAAAAAAAAAAAAAAAAAGAAAAGAAAAAAAAAGAAGAAAAAAAAAAAAGGAATCTAATTTTCACACCACCCAATGATTTGGACCACTTTACTGTATTAAAATTATAGATCAACTCTTTTGGCTATATTTGAGCAGCTGAAGAGTCACAGGAGGAATCTGGAAACAACCAACTCCAGCCAAATGGAAAATAGAGCATTTTACACTATACTGCCAGTAAATAAGCAAACATTTTCATATTTTTATGTAGGACATCCACATAGGACTGGGTTCAAAATTTATTTTCATGTTTTATTTTGTATATCTGTTACATAAATTTTACTGGGAGAGCCTGTGGAAATCAGAAACAAAGACCATCAAGCCACTCAACAACTTGCTTAGTTGTGGGTGAAAGCATTAAAGTCATACCCCTTGTTCAACAAAACCATGACTTATGACTCTAGGGAAATTTTTGACATGGTCTGGATGAAGTTTAAATTCCATAAAAAGCCTAACTAGCTTAGATCACAGATTTCATTTGGGATGACTTGTACAGCCCTAACCTATACAGAAGAGTAAGCTACCGAAAGAGGCATCATGACTTCACAACAGCTGCATGCGTTTTTTTCAAACAAAGTAGTCCTGTCCATAACCCCAAAGACATTATGCAAGTGTACAAGGATGCATGTGTTATACACACACATTTAAATGTGTCATTATACTACACATACATAAAGAAATTATTCTTTATTCTACACTCACATGTGCATACACTTTTTCCAAGTACAAAACAGCAGGAAGTGTTCTTTTTATTTCACTCCCTAAACTAAAGCCAAGAAACCCCCTATAATGCTTGTTACCTATCTGTTCAATATGGCCATTTCTGAATTTCTAAACTCTGATGGGAGACAGTAGTCATCATCATCTGACAGAAAAGAGCAATGGACTGTATGATGCAATTCTCTCTTCTCACTCAACCAAAAGTTCTAGTAATATAAAGTGAAATGTGACCTTAATTCTATCCCATAAATCCTTGCAATATTTCAAACATTTCCTTGTGAGATGTTACAGCATCTATTGTTTCGTACAGATGAGATGTTTTATTTTCCAAAGTTGTGTACATGTCTATTGATGTGTCCAGGAGATGAGACTACCTGTAGTTTATCCAGTTAGGTGTCATACAGTTGCAATGCTCTCATTTTATAAATTACTAAATTTTCCATTTACCTGTTATATATGTTTTTTTAAAGCTAGAATGATCAGTAATTTAGTTTCTGGAACAGTGCCATTCAGTAGATTTTCAATCTTGTGTTATGCAGTATTGTATCCCACAAACAATTTAAGGATTATAGAGTACTGCTATTAGCTGAAATTGAACTACTGAATTCTTTAGTACAGGAACTTTTCACTGATGAAACTGGCACTGATTTTTTGTAATCAGTGGAAAAGTGTTCTGCTCATAGCTGCCTTAAAGAGAAGCTTAGACCGCATCTATTTTTAAGTGCAGTTTCAGTCTTGCAGAAATCAGGTTTCCACCACGGGACAAAATACTGTACATGTTAGGAGTATGCACAACTCACCTTATGCTCAATCCATGCTAAACAAAGTCATTTCCATATTCAGGGCACTGGATCAGGCTCTTACATAAGATTAATCCTGGGAAAAAGTGGCACTCGAAGCTGGCCTGTGTTCCTGATGGAACCAGGGAAAATATGGACAAGCAGCTGTCCCTTAGAGGCTCATATTGTGACCAGTGTTATTTAATATCTTCATTAATGATGTAGATGAGGAATCAAGTGCACCCTCAGCATATTTACAGGTAACACCAAGCTGAGTGGTGCTGTTGACACACCTTCAGGATGGGATACCATCCAGATGAATGTGGGCAAGCTCAAGAAGTGTGTCCATGGGAATTTCACATGGTTTAACAAAACTGAGTGCATGGGCAGCCCCTGGTGCCAGCACAGGCTGGGCATGAACAGCCCCAGAGCAGCCCTGCCCAGAAGGGCTTGGGGGTGCTGTGGGTGAGAGGCTGCACATGGCCCAGCCATGGCACTCACAGCCCAGAGAGCCAAACGTGTCCTGGGCTGCATCCAGAGCCCCGTGGGCAGCAGGGCAGGGAGGGGATTCTGCCCCTCTGCTCTGCTCTGCTGAGACCCACCTGGAGCACTGAATCCAGCCCTGGGCTCCCAGCACAGGAGGGACAGGGACCTGCTGGAGCCAGCCCAGAGGAGGCCATGAAGTTGATTAGAGGGATGGAACAACTCTCCTATGAGGAAAGGCTGAGAGAATTGGGATTGTTCCATCTGGAGAAGAGAAGGCTTTGGAGTGACCTAATTTTGGCCATCCAGTACCTGATGGGAGTCTACAAGAAAGGTGGAGAGAGACTTTTTACAAGAGCATGTAGTGACAGACAAGGGGGAGCGGCTACTGAGAGTGGGTTTAGATTAGATATTAGGAAAAATTCTTTGCTGTGAGGGTGATGAGGCACTAGAACATGTAGCCAAGAGAAGCTGTGGATGCCCCATGCCTGAAAATGTGTAAAGCAAGGCTTTGGATGGAGCGCGGAGCAACCTGGTCTAGTGAAAAGTGTCCTGCCAATGGCCAGAGTGTCAGAACAAAATTATCTTTAAGGTTCCAACCCAGGCCTTTCTGTGATTACAGAGTTAGGCCAGTATCACATACTTGCTGGCTTGACCTGAGGCAGAGACATTGGAAAATCCCATTTTGAGAATGAAAAGCAAGCAGGATTCCATCTGTGCTTTGTGCAAGCTACACAGTACATGATGTTTACTGTCCACTGATTATGGTACATAGCACGTCACATTTACTGTCCACTGATTATGCATGTGTTAGAAGCATGACTTTGGATTTACATTACAAAGGCATCTAAACCTGCAGCTCATTGATAAATATGATCAGTTAAACCACCTAACAGATGAAATGTAGCAGCTTAAAATTTTTGTACCAGATATACTGTCCTCAGTCTGCTGGTGCAATGCTCACACCATTGGGAATCCTGCTGCAAGCAGGAAGAGGACAATATATACATCCCCTTGCTCTGAAAACAACAAATTTCTTGGCACTGTTCATAACCACAGAAGACACATGAATCACATTTGGTACCTCATGGAGAACCTGTAAATGGCCTTCTTTTATCAAACACTGTAAACATGTTTAGTTCTGCTCTTCACACTAAACACAAATATGAAAAATGATCCTAAATGATGAAAACATTTCCCTTATGCCCACCCACTAAAGCCCTAAACATCTCAGTGTGTTACAAGAAGATGAGTGTTTTACAATAGAATCCTTCTAGAATACAATCTTTCTTTTTTTTCAAATTCTGAATAACGCAACAACACACATATCACAGTACTATCAAGTAGTGTCATCTTCACCTTCATCCAGAGAATAGTTGAGCTTTATGACTGTGCTGATAAAGTCACCAAGTTCTACAAAATCTGCAGTGATAATATTCACACCACTCTCTCCTGCCTTCTGACTTCGGACCCACTCCATCATTGCAGGAAGAGCCCTGAGGAGAAAAGAGGAACAATAATTACTCATAAATCAGTGAGACAAATGCATCAAGGCAGGATCTACTGACAGTGTCTCCCATCAATCTTACTTGGTTCCTAAGGGAAAGAAACCAAGTGAGACAGGACACAGGTGACTGCTCAAGCTTTTTAAAAATTCTTTTTAATCTTCATTCTCTGGGGAAATAGTATGTTGACTGCACTTCAACTTCTCAGTGGAAAAGAATGGAAGGAAGATAATGCAGGCTTAGAGTAATTATTGATTTTGCCTAGGCACAAGGCAAAATTGGACCATGGACCAGATACTTTTTGATATCATCAAAATATGACTCCAAGGGATTTGCTTATGGAAAAAACAGTAACAGAGAACTCAAGCCATCTGCAAAGCATGCTTGACACACACAAGGAAATGCTGAAAATAGTATTTTGAGGAACACAGAAACAACCATGATTCCTACAGTATAAGTACAGCATATACCAAAAATCCTTTCTTCACCAGTGCTGATACCCAAGCCATGAATTAATTAGACTTAATCATAAACCAGTGGTTGGTAACTGAAACAGAAAGCACCACAGTCATATCAACTCTTTCCTAAGATGGCAGATTTTAATTATGTCAGATCCTTAGCACAGGAATACCGGGGTCTAAAGGATATCTGCCTAACTGTGCTTCTGAATATAAAGAAATTTTTCTGACATTTTTCTGTGCGAATACAAACTAACAATCACAAAAAACATCTGTGAGAAAAATAAAAGGCTCCTTAGTCCTGCTGAGGCTGTCAAGCAGCAAAATCCAGGATTTAGGAGAAAGAAGTTAACAGAGTTCCAAAAAAATAAGGTACACATTTTTCAGAGAAAGTGTATTTTTCAGAGAAAGGGCATTTTTCAGAGAAAGGGTAATTGACCATTGGTACAAAATCCCAATGACTGTGACAAACTCTGCAGCAGTCTTTAAATCAAGCCTGGATATCGTTCCAAAATTATACTTTTGGTCAACCTCAAGCTGCTGAGTTAAATAAAAGAACCTAAAGTCTGGGCAGGACTGCAGTCAGTTTAGATGAACATTTTGTTCTCCCTTTGCCTTAAGATCTATAAATCTTTGGTTTCCCCTAAACCAGCATGTTGTGCAGCCTTTTTCACAGACACAAGGTACATGGAAAATTTTGGTCTGAGAGTAATTTAAATGAAGGTGAACATGTTGAACCTACATCTTTTCTCACAAGCGTTAGGAAAACTGGTCTAAAGAAAAGAGAACTATTTGCAGAAAGAGATTGTACTTGTCAGTGGCTACTAGAATCAGTCAGTTTTAAAAATAATTTAATCCAGAATAAAACCCAAGCAGCTAAAATTATTCCTCTATGTGATTTCACAGAAGAATACCAAGGTTTTATTTCACCAAAATGTACTTGAATCTACTGTAAGATCCACATATCAGCAATACATTTTATTTCAGTCATTGATTCAGTATGACTGAAGCACTTGTATGTATGCACACAGCTCATAAAACCAGACTCAGGCATTCTGCTGTTTATGAACCCAGCCAGCCCTTCAGATATAAGTTTATGTAATGCTGAAAAGCTGCACTCTGTACAACTGTAATGGGACACAGGTCAGGCATTAAATACCTGGCAATGCCTGTACTGCTTGAAAAGATCTGCAATCAACCAGAACCAGGACAGATCTCAGCAGAACAGCACAGACCACCAAGGTGACAAAAGGCAGCTCACAGCAGCTGTAAACTCCACTGCATCTTCATATGTGAAAGGTACTGCTGAACTCTGCTCAAAGATACAAAGTCAAACCTACGAGATGGCAGTATGTTCTTTTGTATTTAATACCTGCCTATTTACGCCCAAAGAGTTAGAGGTTTAAAGGTCAACTGATTCATTGTAGGCAGGCACAAATCCTTCCTTCCTTCCTTCCTTCCTTCCTTCCTTCCTTCCTTCCTTCCTTCCTTCCTTCCTTCCTTCCTTCCTTCCTTCCTTCCTTCCTTCCTTCCTTCCTTCCTTCCTTCCTTCCTTCCTTCCTTCCTTCCTTCCTTCCTTCCTTCCTTCCTTCCTTCCTTCCTTCCTTCCTTCCTTCCTTCCTTCCTTCCTTCCTTCCTTCCTTCCTTCCTTCCTTCCTTCCTTCCTTCCTTCCTTCCTTCCTTCCTTCCTTCCTTCCTTCCTTCCTTCCTTCCTTCCTTCCTTCCTTCCTTCCTTCCTTCCTTCCTTCCTTCCTTCCTTCCTTCCTTCCTTCCTTCCTTCCTTCCTTCCTTCCTTCCTTCCTTCCTTCCTTCCTTCCTTCCTCCTTTCCTTCCTTCCTTCCTTCCTTCCTTCCTTCCTCCTTTCCTTCCTTGTAACCTTGGTATTTTACTCCCCATCCTCCCTTCCTTATAACCTCGGTATTTTACTCCCCATTGAGGCATAATTAACTCCTTTTGGTGTCTTTTACGTGTTCTGAAACTGGTTGTGATGTCATTCTTTCTTCACACCTTACAGTTTGCTGTCCATACACTTACCCATATGGACCAAAATACTGTTTTCCTTTTCCTGATGTGTTCTTAGTAAGTCAGACCCCGCCAAAAAGTCGTGCCTCCTTTTGATCAGTGCTTTATCCTACAGTCAGCCTGCCTTGCCATTTCATCCACAGCTGGCTTTGTTAGTTGAATGGGTTATTTTTGTTTTACTGATATTTCATACAGGACACAGTTGCATGACCCTCTGCTCATATGTAAATTGCTAGATAAAGTCACGGAAATCTTTTGTTCATGAGACTAGAAAGCATTTAAAGATAAGTCAGAAATGAATCACATTATCAAACAAAAAGCTTATTTGCATAGCAATGCCAAATAACACAATCCTATTTAAAAAAAAGATAGCTGAAGAAAACATTCCACTGACCTTAAAGATTTGATGTCAGCTCTATAGCTCTCTTTATGACAAAAGTTAATGCAAAAACCACACAGATGATCTCTTCCCCATGTGCCATCCTGAGAGTGGATTACACCAATGACTCTAAAAACCTCATGTTGCTCAGTTTCAGTGTTTATCTGAAATGCTCACAATAATTATTAGAATAAGCCTGCTTTAATATTCCTCGGGGTGCCTTTGTGGTAGCAGTACAAACCTTGCTCACCCTGCCTTGTAATTTCAAAATTGTGCCTCAAACTAGTGATTGTTCTCACCAAGGGTTTTACTCAGGTGAACAAACCACCTATATGACTGAGCTCACAAAAGACCAGTACCTACCATAGTCCTCATAAATATTCTTATGTGGTTCTCTGTCAGACATGAGGGAAGCTTCTAGAAGCTTCTCACAGAAGCCATCCCTGTAGCATCCCCCTCTACCAAAACCATGCTACTCAAACTCAACCCATCTTGCTGGGAAGGTAAGAAATTATTTTATGCATGAGCATATAGGCAGAAGCCTCTCAGCCTGGAAACCCTAGGAGCATCACTGCCTCTGTGTTAGGCAGGTCCTGGCTCTCCTGTGGAGGATTTCTTTAGGGTGCCTCCCACAGCTGGTACAGTCCAGCCCTTATGGCCATTCGCAGTTCTCACAAGGAATCATTTCTAACCCCTCTGGGTTCCAAAGCCACCGTGTCACCCAGAGCCACATGCACAGAAGGTGCTGCTTGTCTTTGCACAGAGCCAGGGAGGAGAGCAGGCGTGCTCCTCCACAAGAGCTGTGCCAGGAGAAAGAGAGGAGTCCTCTCCTCCTACCTCTCTTCCTGTTTTCATTCTGCTGCAGTTCCTCTGACCTGGGCTGGAGTTGGCCAGATCTGATCCTGCCAAGCCAGTGCAGCACTGCCCCACAAACCAGCATTTGAAGTCAATTACTTTTTCCACATCCCTGGTGGAAGAAGAGGGGTTAATGGAAACAGTAGTCCAGGGAGGGCAAAGACACAAGGCTGGGGGGCTTGAGTACTGGCAGGGAAGAAGGTGAATGGCATGTTACCTCAATTTGACTATGGATTGAGATCAGGAATCCTCATGATAAATTTTCTGGCCTGAAGGAATGTGTAGAGTATCTCATTTCCTTTCACAAACTGGAAATGAGGAGGTGCCAGACAGCTGCCCCTCACTGCCAGGATGGTGGGTGTGAAGCCATGTGACTGACTGATGTGGAAGGACCTCATGGGAAGGGCTGTGGGCCAGCCCCAGCCACCACCACTGCACCTCCACAGAAGCAGACAGATCCACCACCCGTGATGCCCAGCAGCCTTCTGGAGCAGCATTTCCACCTGCCAAAGTCTGCATGAGAAGGGGAGGAGTAGAGGAGATCTGGGTGGTAGGGACCTTCCTATGCTGGACAATGCAAAGTCACACAGAGGTGCTTGATGTGGCTGCATTTCTTCTGAGATCTAAGTTTATATCTCAGGTGGCACCTCACTAGGTTAGTCAGAGGTACTCATAACTTGGGCATGACCTGGGTATCAAGATGGTTTACACCATGACTGCAAGCATGCCTTATTTCACCACTCTCAGCTGTTTTGTTATTTTTGAGGGGCCATATACTTTCTCATACAGCATTGCTACAGCAACTTTCACTTACAACCCAGTAAAATCTAGGCTCAGCTTTGACACTTATTTTATTACCTCTATTTTCCCTGTTCTGCTTGCTTGCTTATATAAACACAAATGTGCACATATTTAAGTTTTTCTCCTCTTTCAGGAACCATTTTCTGATGCATTAGAGATCTGCTGAGAAATACTGACCTCAACTACGAAACAGGCATAGCCCTTTTAAACATTACTGAATATTCAAGACTTCTTTTTTCTTTTTTTTAATCTATCAAAGCTCTCAAGTGACTTCAATGGCATTGAATTTTGTTCAAAAATAATAATTAAGCATTCAAGTTGCTTCAGTTCAAGCAGTAAAATCATGACTCCCATTAAAAGCTTTCAGAAAGAAAATATGACCTAATTATTTGTATTAAGATTTGCTTTTAAAAAACTGTTCTTAGGCTATTTTAGTTCAGAAAGAGGGTTGGTTATTTGGTATTTTTAATGCCTGA